CCCCTTTTTTAAAACTCGCCTCTGAACTGGTACAGAACTGCAGGTTTTCCAATGAGGAATTATGGGCAGAATTGGGAATGGAAAACCACATACTTGTCATCTGAGCTCTGAACAATGACCTCTGGAGCTTTGTCTCTCTGATTTCTAATATTCCTCCTTTAAAAAATGAACTTGACTAATATGTATGACTTAATTTCTTTATATGGAACAAAAGTAAACCCACAGAATACTAAACTATATATCTTGATGAAAGTACATGAATATTCAAATACTACCTTTAAATGAATAGTTCATAAGCCCCCACCCACCTCCAAATTCAATACTGTCCAGTTTATTGTGTCACCTGACCTGCCATTCTAGTACTTAAAAATGTAGCCACGTGGTGTTTGGTTTGTGGGTTCAGTGTCTAGATGAGATGGCAGAGACACTTGACTGGAGACTTAGTATTATTTAAAGGCCCCCAAAGAAGGAGGGTGGTTGAATTCCTATATCTTCAGAAAATCGACTGATCAGGGACCTAATTTTTCTGTTCATTTTTCCTGTTTATCATTTTCTGTTCTGCTTAACATAACCGATGCAGTGCTCTTCTTCTAGATGCTAACATGATGGCATTTAAATCCACTGAACGTCAGTGGTAGAAAAAAATCAGAGATTTGATCCAGGCCCTCAGTTTTCCTGATCAAGGATCAGCTACAAGAGCATGCTCTAACTGTCTCACAAACAAGGCATTACTGTTTTTTACAGGTACCTGCAGAAGGCTTTGGTAGACTTTTCAGAAGGATACCTGAAGACTGGCTTTGAGTGGCAGAGCAGGCTGATGACTGTGGTTCCACAGTACCTCCCATGACAGACAGCCTGCTTTATAACTGAGAAAGATGTTCTGTAGAAAGGTTCTATGTTGTTTGCAGTGCATGGCTTTGGGGTTGGTGGACCTGGTCCTAGGATGTGAGCTGTGCTGACAAGCTGTGCTTAACCTTCAGATTCCAGCTTGCTTTATTCCAGTAGCTCATAAATGGCTGTCATTTCTGTTGCGACATTCAGCCAGAGCTTGTGCCCACTTCCTTCCTCCTTAAGACTATGTAAAAATCAGTCAGGGGTATATGGATAGGAAGAAGTAAGAGCGTATAAGAGAGATATGAACAACTATGTTAAGAATGTGAGGCTGATAAGTGTATACAGAACCGGTGAAGCTCTGTAGACATTCAGGAGGGAGAGAGAGAGAGAGAGAGAGAGAGAGAGAGAGATCAGATTGGAAGAGAACACAAAAACCTTTGTGTGATAACTGATTGGGATTCCTTCAGAAAGAGTTGACGAGGGTTGTGTGAATCAACATTCTGTGTAGAGGGAGCTGATTTAACACAGAATAGAACAAGCAATCACTGGGTATGGTTGACTCAAGTGAGTGGTGCCTCTTGGCTTCTAGGCTGTGTGTGCACTGAAGTTGCCTTGGTTTGGATGTGGTTTGAGGGTCTCTCCCAAAGTTCCATGGACTGGAACTGGTCCCCAGTGTGGTGGTGGGGATGGCTGAGCAATTAAGAGGTGTGGGGGGGAAGGGAGTGAGCAGACCATGAAGACAATGATTGATGTTTTTCTGTTTTTCATGGGATTTCTAGTTCTTGTGGGCCCAGACTAGCAGTGCAAATGTTCATCAGGTTGTTACAAAACAAACCTACTCCACATGGCTGGCCTCTTCTGTTCCCATGTCTTTTTTTTCCCTCCACTTTTCACCATGTGGTGCTGAAGCATGGGGGCCTCAGCAGAGACCAACAGATGGAGGAGCTTCATCTTGAACTTTGACCCTCCAAACCTGTAACCTGAATAAACCTCTTTACTTTTTAAGTATCCAACCTCTGGCATTTTATTATAGAAATAACAAATATACTTAATACAGAAGACTTGTGATAAGTCATAATAAATACTCACTGAAGCAGTCTAATAAAAAAGTGTTGTTCTGATGGTTAAGGATCAACACTCCACAGCAAGAGGATCAATTTGTAAACAGTTTAAGCGGACTGGTGGGGAAGAGTCTGGACAGGAAAAGTCAATTACGGAGCTATTATAAGTTATTGAACCACAATGGACATAGTGAAACTTAAATCAGTTTCTTCTTTTATGTTTACTTTTGATTTTCAGTAGTTGATATACAGACCTTTTATTGAATCCTATTTCCTCCAACACAGACACTTTAATAGCTTGAAATAAGTTGTCCCAAGTATAATATGATTTCAAAGTTTTCTCATAGACATATTTTCTATCAAAATAAATTTCTATAGCATACTTTTAGTTAAACTCTTTTTGCTGGACTACTCTCATTTCAGATTGTACCGTTGTTTTGCCCTACTCAGAAGAAAAAGAAATTGCACTGAAGATTAAGCCAAATAAAATCACCAAAACTCTAGGAATGGTGTTTGGGTTAAATAAACAAAACTTTTGTGGTTTGAGATAATCAACAAAAACACTGTCAAAATCTATCAATCTATATTAATAACTAGATATCATAGTAAGATCAGTTCAAGGTAATTTCTTTGACGTGCATTTCTGAAGCTCTCAACTGCCTGACTTCAAGTGTGACTACATCCACCATTTGTGGAACTTTGTGTCTGCTGCTTGGTTGGCAGTTAGAATAAATAATATAACTTCCTTTAATCTTTACATTCTTGCATTAAGCAAGATGCATATGTAAATCAAAATTAATGTGAAAAGCTCAGTGTGCACAAGATACACTGGAGAAAAAGATGGAGTGATGGTCAGAAGGTGGAAGTGAAGGGCCTCCTTCTGAGCATCAGTGGGCAGATGGAAAAGAGGTAGAAGAAGGCCCACAGCAGAAGAGCCACTATTCAGCAATCCACTTTATACATAGAGTCATTTGCTAAATCCAGTTGAATTTCTGTTATTCTTATGACCTCCTGATACTTCTTTTTAAATATCCCAAATAGTCATTTTTTTTCTCATTATTTGCCCATTTTTTCAAAAAAGTAGAACTGAAATAAATGCTCCATTTCTCTACAAAGTATGGTGAAATTCGCTGTAGCATGGCATGGAAGTATACAAGTGGTATGAACTGCATATCGTAGTAATTGCTATTTCATTATGCTTGGGCCATTTATTAAAGAAGTGCCTAGGGAGCCCTGCTACCCTTCATACACCATTATAAGTGCATACAATGGGGATTATAAACAAAATTATATAATCCTCTTCTTCTCTCTTATTGAAAAAGGAAAGTCAGCATACTAAATAAAAATAAATAAGCAAAATATATTGCTTGTTTTATTGAAAAGTAGCAACGAGGAGGGGAGGACATGGCAAGGTGAGTTATGAAGAAAATGTTACTGCAGAGGTGACATTGGAGTTAAGACCTGAGCAATCAAATGACATAGCTATGAAGGTGGTGGGGAGAGCAAAGGAACCCAGAAGCACAGACTCCGAGGAAAGAACATACCTAACAGGCTTTCAGAATGCTTGGTGATGTTATGGAGTTGGGACCACCAGACCAACTACCCAGACTCAAAAAGTTCCGAGTCAGCCAAATTAAACCTTATACAATTTTGTTAGAATTTTAAAGAAAAAGAAATCCTCACGGCAGGTGAGCTGGTAATCCCGGCAGCTGCCTTGAGGAGGTGAATGGTGGGAAGAAACAAAGAAAACTATGAAACCATGTGGTCATGCAGCGGGAGGTCAGACACAAGTGGCCAACTCTCACCCACATGGCTTGGGGAAGGAGGCTTTAGGGAAAGTAAAGAAATGCAAGATGCTAGGGGCAGCCCAAAGCCTTAAAGAAAGCATGTTTAGTAAGAAAGGAGAGCCAAAAGAAGAGAAGAAATTACGCTTCCCTGAAGAATAGGGAAGCAGACAAACTCAGGGACTACCTGGCTGTTGCTAGTCTGAGCCCACAGGTGAGATTCCAGGAGGAAAAATGTGGGTGTTTCATTAACGCACTATGTATTCTGCCCATTTATTTAGCATAACCCGCCTTCCTAGGTGTGGTCCTACAACCAAATGATTGACCAGTTAA